CCTCTCCCTCTCTCTCCCTCTCTCCCTCTCCCTCTCCCTCTCTCTCCCTCTCTTGGATAAAGGTAGAGCTGCACAGTTAACTGAAATATAATCTAAATCTCAATGTGGCCAAGTGCAACATTCAAATCACAGGAGCTGCAGTTTTTTCTGATGAAGGTAAAATGTGTCACATTGTTGTGCATTGATAGCATTAGCATTGTTAGCACCAGTCTGTGTTTGTGTGTGTGTTTGAGTCTGTGTTTGTGTGTCTGTGTTTTTCTATCTGTGTCTGTGTTTGTGTGTTTGTGTCTGTGTTTTTGTATCTATGTCTTTGTGTGTTTGTGTCTGTGTCTGTGTGTTTGTGTCTGTGTTTGTGTGTCTGTGTTTGTGTGTTTGTGTCTGTATTTTTGTCCGTGTTTGTGTGTCTGTGTTTGTGTCTGTGTTTTTGTGTCTGTGTCTGTGTTTGTGTCTGTGTTTGAGTCTGTGTTTTTCTATCTGTGTCTGTGTTTGTGTCTGTGTTTGTGTCTGTGTTTTTTTGTCTGTGTCTGTGTTTGTGTCTGTGTTTTTGTATCTATGTCTTTGTGTGTTTGTGTCTGTGTCTGTGTGTTTGTGTCTGTGTTTGTGTGTCTGTGTTTGTGTGTTTGTGTCTGTATTTTTGTCCGTGTTTGTGTGTCTGTGTTTGTGTCTGTGTTTTTGTGTCTGTGTCTGTGTTTGAGTCTGTGTTTTTCTATCTGTGTCTGTGTTTGTGTGTCTGTGTTTGTGTGACTGTGTTTGTGTGTCTGTGTTTATGTCTGTGTTTGTGTGACTGTGTTTGTGTGACTGTGTGTTTGTGTGATTGTGTGACTGTTTGTGTGACTGTTTGTGTGACTGTGTGACTGTGTTTGGGTGACTGTGTGACTGTTTGTGTGTTTGTGTGACTGTGTTTGTGTGTCTGTGTCTGTGTTTATGTCTGTGTTTGTGTGACTGTGTTTGTGTGCCTGTGTGTTTGTGTGATTGTGTGACTGTTTGTGTGACTGTTTGTGTGACTGTGTGACTGTGTTTGGGTGACTGTGTGACTGTTTGTGTGTTTGTGTGACTGTGTTTGTGTGTCTGTGTCTGTGTTTATGTCTGTGTTTGTGTGACTGTGTTTGTGTGACTGTGTGACTGTTTGTGTGACTGTTTGTGTGTTTGCGTCTGTGTCATAGTGTGAGGCGTCAGTGTGCAGCTGTACCTCTTAGTCTGAGCTGATTCATGAACCAGTTTTGTCCCTGTCCGGCTGCTGTAGTGTGATCTGATCCTCTGAAGTTAACTTCAGCTATGGAGCAGGTTTAGCCCTTCAGCAAGGGTTACCATGGTGATCTACACCAGTTACCATGGTGATCTGCCACAGTTGCCATGGTGATCTACCCCAGTTAAAAGTGAGCCAGCTTTGTGATGTGAGAAAACCGAGTTAAACATATCTGGATAAAATACTGAGCCAACAGCTCACTCTGTGATGTTATCAACACAGACCCGGACAGACCGGGACAGACTGGGACAGACCGGGACAGAGTGGGACAGACTGGGACAGACTGGGACAGACCGGGACAGAGTGGGACAGACTGGGACAGACTGGGACAGACCGGGACAGAGTGGGACAGACTGGGACAGACTGGGACAGACCGGGACAGAGTGGGACAGACTGGGACAGACTGGGACAGACCGGGACAGAGTGGGACAGACTGGGACAGACTGGGACAGACCGGGACAGAGTGGGACAGACTGGGACAGACTGGGACAGACCGGGACAGAGTGGGACAGACTGGGACAGACTGGGACAGACCGGGACAGAGTGGGACAGACTGGGACAGACTGGGACAGACCGGGACAGAGTGGGACAGACTGGGACAGACTGGGACAGACCGGGACAGAGTGGGACAGACTGGGACAGACTGGGACAGACCGGGACAGAGTGGGACAGACTGGGACAGACTGGGACAGACCGGGACAGAGTGGGACAGACTGGGACAGACTGGGACAGACCGGGACAGAGTGGGACAGACTGGGACAGACTGGGACAGACCGGGACAGAGTGGGACAGACTGGGACAGACTGGGACAGACCGGGACAGAGTGGGACAGACTGGGACAGACTGGGACAGACCGGGACAGACCCGGACAGACTGGGACAGACTCTGCTCTCTGATGTGTCCATATTGGCACAGACTCACCTGTTCTGGACTCACAATCCTTCTTAGACATAGGTGGGAAAGTGAGGCTTTTATTTTGAAGTGGTGATGTGACATCATGGTAACAGGACATATGTCTAGTTGGAGGTGGTTGGTGTATATTGTGTGTGTGTGTGTGTGTGTGTGTGTGTGTGTGTGTGTGTGTGTGTGTGTGTGTGTGTGTGTGTGTGTCTCAGTCAGCTGTGGAGGAAGAGCAGAGATATAATTGGCTGCTTCTATATTTATCTTTTCTTTAGTCTCTTTTCTTTGAATTTGATCATACTCCACACGTTCGTGTCACGCAGCCCCCCCCCCCCCCTTTATTAAACAGATTCTTCTTTTCTTCTTTCTGTGTGTTGTCGTCTTTCATCTTCCTCCTCTCACACGCTTAAGTAACATCCGTGTTTCCTCCTCTCCTCTCCTCTCCTGCTCGCTCGGTGTCGTTCTGCGTCTCGATGGCGGATGTTGAATATTTGATTGTGTTTGTATGAAACATTGATGAGGAGAGCAGATGATCTACCAGCCCGCAGCTTCTTCTTCTTCTCTGATTTACATGTTGGTGTTGTGTTTGTTTGTGACTCCACTGAGCTACAGGTGTGACACACAGAGAAGAGTCAGGTGGAACATGCTGTGAACGTCTCTGGCTTCAAACCAACAAACCAATCAGCTTTTAGTTTTAAAGAGAAAAGCAGGTCTCTCTCTCTGTGTCTTTCTGTCTCTCTCTCTCTCTCTCTCTGTCTCTCTGTCTCTCTCTCTGTCTCTCTCTCTCTGTGTCTCTGTCTCTCTCTGTCTCTCTCTCTCTGTGTCTTTCTGTCTCTCTCTCTGTCTCTCTCTGTCTCTCTCTCTCTGTCTCTCTCTCTCTGTCTCTCTGTCTCTCTCTCTCTCTCTCTGTCTCTCTCTCTCTCTGTCTCTCTCTCTCTGTGTCTTTCTGTCTCTCTGTCTCTCTCTGTGTCTCTCTCTCTCTGTCTCTCTGTCTCTCTCTCTGTCTCTCTCTCTCTCTTAGTATCATACAGATGTGTAGTGTTGTGGATGTTGTGAGTCCCTCAGGCTGCCCCCCCCCCTCTCTCTCTCTCTCCCTCGCTCGGCCAGTAGTAAATTAAATCTGTCTAATCCTCTTGATGACGGCCATAATTATCTTGGCGAGGCGAAATATTGTGTGTTCACTTTACAGAGCTTTCAGCTGCATCTAATGACCTTCATTAGCAAATGGTATTTACTCGCTCACATGACCTGAGCAGGAAGCTGTGGTCACATGATCACAGGTGGTTGTACGTAGTGTGAGTGACAGCTGATGGGAGGGGCGTTACCTGGTTATATATACGAGCTGGTTGCAGTTCTGTGGTGGTTGTGCAGCAGCTGCTGTGTGTGATTACACTCTGACAGTCGGCGTCAGTCAGATCACAGACACAGATGGAGACGTAGCTGCAGCCTTCAGACGGACGTACAGGTAGTTAATCAGTTGAGAGAGAGGCCGTCATGCAGACTGCAGACTGCTGTGGTGACAGATGTTCAGGAGGATTTTATAGTAATTACTTCTGTACATTAGATCCTCCTGCTGCGGAAGAATGTAAAAGAGTTTGTGGGGTTTTATGTGGGAGTGTCTTCATCAATTAGACTGATCAGAGCAGCAGCTGCGGCCTGGTGAACGGGGGAGGTCGTCCATGTTGGATTCACATCCACTGCCTCTGTTGTATCCAGGTGGAAGGTAGAGGTGTGGAGGTGAGAGGTGGACATGAAAGAGATTTGAGTTTATCTTCTGTCACAAATCACAGATCCACCTCAGTCTCAGTGTCACAGTGATGAAGCCTTCCACACACAGTCAGACTCTGAGTGTGACCGACAGTAAGAGACCGGCTACAGTCACATCAAGGTGTTTCCATGAGCTGATCGTCTAGGTGCTGAAGCTCTGTAATGATGACACTGTCTGTGACTGAGGCTCCACCCACAACAACCGCTCTTAGCTTTAAGTCTCATCTCTTCTTCTATGTTTCCTCCTCCGTCC